CACCCACAGAACACACCTATGATATCCTATTCCACCTGGAGCGCGGAGGGAGTGTTCACCAACAAACAGTAAAAGACTAGACATGCTTTGCACATTCCTCTTCATACTTCAAATCAAGGTTCTGCCTTCTGTCAGCGTACGCTAATATTTTCTAGGCACTGTGATATACAGTGATCCCTCGCCATATCGCGGTTCGGCTATCGCGGACTCGATATATCGCGGGTTTTCAAATATATTATATGTAAAATATTATCGCGGGCCCCTCACAATACCACGGGTTTTCCGTGGGTTTTCCGAGGAGGTACGTCCTAAATTTTTTTTTTAATTCTATTAAAAATGGCAATTTCGTGCCATAAATTAATATTGTAAATTAAATTAATAAACAAAAGAAGGACGAAGTTATGTGAGTGTCGGCCGCCATGACGGCATCAGTGAATCCATACGGAAGACGGCAAGTGTTACAGTTAATACGACGGCGAAGAGGGTGGTAACTTCCCATAATAAGTACATTGTGAGGATGGAATCGGCATGGATTTTCATGCCCTACTTCGCGGATTTTCGCCTATCGCGGGGGTGTCTGGAACCTAACCCCCGCGATAGGTGAGGGATCACTGTAATTTGAACAAATGTTGCAAGGCCGTAAAAAAGTTGTCACACAGTATTATGACAGCATATGTGCGTTCAAGGTGAAGCTGACTTTGTGGGAGACACAGCTGGCATGTGGTGACCCTGCTCATTTTCCCTGTCTAAGAGATGTACGTGCGACTGTCATTAATGCTGACATGAAATGGTATACGCAGTCAGGGCCTGCACAGACATCTGCAGAGAGTCTGTGTGGACCATCGTGGACCAGTGAAGGTGACAAACATTAAGTTACTTGACCATAGCAGACATGCGGATGAGCAAAGCATGAATAGTCCTTTAAAGTGAAGCTGTCTCTGTGTGGGGTGGGAGGGGGACAAACTACATTTAGTATACTCCTGGGGACCAAAAACCACACACTAGCTTCACGGGGAGTGGTGTCATAGTTCATTGAATTTTTTAAAAAACAACACACTGTAAAGTTAGAGCAAGTGTTAGAGTTAGGTAAGTAGAGGCTATGATTAAGGTTAGGGTCAGTCTCCTGGAACTGAATACAGGTCTATGTAGGGACCCAGTAAGTGATAAAAACAAAAATGTGTGTAAGTGCGTGTGTGTTCATGCATCTGCTAAGCATGTATATGTGTATGCATGGAAAATGTAAAGGGAAATCGAAACCTGTCTGAGTGAGGACAGGCTGCTTTCAGCACTGCATCCCTTGGCATCAATTAGCAGGTTGTGCTGTGACTGGCTCCTGTTAGAGGTGAGCTGAGCCAGATGAAGGAAATAAATACACCTGGTTCCCAGGGCTCACTGAAATGAGAAGGAGGACAACAACATGCCACTGCCTGGGCCATAGAAGACTGCCTGTGCCTGGCTGCTACCACCCTTCAGCAGTCATTTCCTACCTTCTCCTCCAATTTCCTGGCCCAGGTTCATGCATGAGGCTGACAGTGGATGGTTCACCAGGCCACATAAGAAACCTTTTTTCTGCTATTGCCCTAATCTGTGTGTTTGAGGGAGCCTGTGTTTTGAACTACTTTAGCCAACTGATGAGAGGGTCTGTTGGTCCGAAACAGCAATCAGTCTGCATAGGAAAATGCATGTTTTGGTACCTTCTCAAACCACAAAATAAGATCATTTTATTTACATGATATAAGGTAGATTTTTGTTATGGACAAAATAAAAACAATATCAGAACAATGAGGAAAAATTTCACAAATCATGCATAAGTCAGAGATGCTTTATATAACTCTTTATGATTCCAGTAATGTTCTGTCTCTATCATCAGACTTTATGGAACATCAAGTTCCATAATTAAAGAAGATTAGGGTTGTGTGCTGTGAGATGTTGTTTCAGCCAGTTCCTGAGGTTGTGTGTGTGTGTGTGTGTGTGTGTGTGTGTGCATGGGGGAGCTGGCTTTAAATAGCTGAGTCTGGAGACTGCCAAGGTCCTCTGTTCTAAAAACATGGATTTAAGATCTGTCGGTTTAGGCCTTCCACCATCTTCACTATGATTTTGAAATGCACATCTGTATGTACATTTTGTGCACTCTGCTCAGAATAGATATGATATCTTTAAGAAGACAACTGTGACTGTTTGAGCTTCTCTTCCTATCTGAAGCTGAGATTTTCTTCATCAGGTCAGATTCCCCCTTGTTTTTCTTTGTTGTGCCCTGATTGAACAAACTACTGTGCTGAGTACAAGCTGTCAAAAAAATGTCTTATTAAATCACAGTCACCCGCCCCCAAAAATATAGTACACAAATAGTGAGCTTGTGTAGGATGGTGAACTTTAAAATGAAATGAAAAGTTATCTCATAAAAAGAAGAATAAAAAACTGGGGCTCTTGCTACATGACAATTCAAAAGAAAGTGAGGAGAGTGAGGAAATAGAGAAAAGAGAAAGAAGAACAAAGAAAAACAAGAAGCAAATCATATGACACTGGGTTGGCTTTAAATTGTGAAATTACTCTTGGCTTCTGTGTGTCAGTGACACAAGCGCCCAGATATGAATATTTGAGGTCTAACTCACAATAGACTTATGTACTCTGAGTCACTTGGTACCAGTACGAACATGAATACTGATGCTTATTTAGGTGTTCAGGCAACATGTCACAAAAAAAGCATGAAACATTTTTAAAAACCAGGCATGTTGTTACTATTCCTAAAGATACCAGTGTTACCAGCATGGATATGAATGAGGTTTGTGCAAATTCACTAGAGAGCAGTAAAAAAAATAAAAATAAATCATCTAACCTCAAATGTAATGACAGACAAACAGCCCACTGTCACAAATTCTCAACTCACAACATCAATCAACAGAAAAAAAAATCTATTTCTTGATGCTGAAATTCAGAAAAAGCACTGGCCATCTGCCTGCAGACCTTTTTCACAGCAGACATTTTGGTTTGTCATAGCAGGAAGAGGGCAAGTAATGATAATGATAAGATAATGATAAAAACATCTGCATTCCATTCAGATGGGCTTGTTCAGGGTCCTGGTACTGTCCACACATCGCTAACGAAATTTCTTTCACCTGTACCCTGTACTGTTACGACGGCTCAAAATGTCTGTTGTGAGAAACATCTAGTCAGAGTGCTTTGGAGGATACTCCACAAGTTATCATATAATTGGATCAAATCATTTATGAGTAAGAATTGTGAGGTGTGCAGCTCAAAACACTATAACAATGAGCATTCAGCACCACACTACAGACTAAATGTGGATTATCCACATTTAAATTCACTTTAAGACTAATACTGTCATATTGCATCTGTCCACACAACTCCCCTCACAGTGCTGAACCATGTGCACTTACTCACATGGACACAAAGTGCAGTAGGTGGTGACCTCAGAGTGGAGTCATTAACCTGCCCAGCAGGTTTCTGTGCAGCCAGTGCCTCAACACTCCCACCCCCTGACACACTGGCCTCTTTGATCACCACTGTCTCACTTATCAGCCCAGTGTTGACTCCACCCAGGCTGGCAGCTCCTTCAGCTGTAGTAAACTGGCTGCAACCTTTATCAAACTGGAACAGCTTTTATACTAAAATGTACAGTGAACTCTGGGTGTTCGCAATATCGCATTTAGGATATTGTATCCGAGGATTCACAGTGAAATAACCCAGGATAGCTTCAAGATTCACCAGGGACAGGCCTTCAGATTTTTCCAGTAGCTTTCAGTGGGGAAACATATTTGGCCAGTGAGAGAGCAGACATCAGCTCGGAGGGGGAAACAGTCCATACAAGTGTTCTAAAATTAGCTGGACTTTGACAAAGAGGGGTCAAGCTACTGCTTGCACAGCACACTTGACATAAGGATGACCCTGATTTCGGGCACTTGTTTTGCTGGTCAGCCAGCACCATGGACAGAGGGACTGTGACTGCAGCCTGACCTCTGGGGCCCCATCCCACCACTCAGAGCAGGGGAAGTCGCCAGAAGGGCCCAAAGCCTGCCAGAGGCTCTTTTGTTAAAGGCGTGTTTAAAGCATGGGAAAAAAATACATGAGGAAGGACACTGTGGGAAGTCAGTGTCTACCGTTTCTCCATAACAACATGCAAAGCCAGCACCTCACCTCATGATCTGCTGTATTAGGAGGCTGCTCAGCACTATTTGTTACACCACGATGACTCAACAACTTCCAGCATCACTCATCATTTAACTTTAAGAAAAAAAGTGAACAAAGCTTTAATATTAAACAGGGTTTTTTGGGGGGCAGTAGCATCCATATGCTATTTGACATAACTACAGTGAGTTTACCACAGCTTGCCATGAACTGCTGAATCATTGTTGTGTTTGTGGGGAGGGAGAGGGGCTTGTGTCGTCATTCATTATGAATAACCCACAACTACACCGCTACGTGTCTGTAAAGCAATGTGTGACGGGACAAATTCACCAAAAGCCCTTCTCTGTGTGACAGCAACGATTGGTCACTAACTCTAAATATAACCGCGTGTGAAGCTGATACCCTAACCCCTGGATAATGCTGCGTTCACTTGCTTCTTGAGAACTCCGACCAGTGGTTCAAAAAATTCTAATATAACATATAGCCTACTTCAAATTTCACATATTTTGTTTCTTTTGTAGTGAGTAAAGAGGAGCGTCACGGAATATTCAGCTGACTTTTTCATTTTGGTAAGATAGGTGTCAATCATTAACACTATAGCAGGTCAAATATTGGCAAAAGTGCGTGCGGGCCTGTAAACGTTTAGGTGGAGCATCTCCATCTAAACGCTTTTAAACTTCATAAGTGATATTACAGGTAATCCCCGCCTCTTATACTTAAGGATGCTCGGTGCTTTTCCAAATAGAATTCCAATATTTCCCACAGTCCCTGAAGCTATCAGCTAGCTTGTCAACGTTGTGGTTCATATGAACAAAGTGAAAGTCGCACTGCTGTGTCTGTCACACTTAGCCTACCTTGTTCAGGTGGGGGTTCCGGGTGATATCATAACCCCTCTTCTTGGTATAAACGAAGGATTTTCTTGTGTCCTCGGACTTGTGCATCTCCGCTTCTACCGACTCTCGTCTGACCAGAGCGTGTTCCATGTTGTTGCTTCTTTAAACAGAGCGACGCGTGTTCACGTGTTGTCACCTCAACAAGTGGATGCGCACAGCCCTGCTCACACCACTGCCTGTTAGTCACCCAGTTTGTTATCTCTTCAATGACGCTGCTTTATTATTTCCAATAATAAACTGAAGCTGTTGATTTGAACAGTTGTTTGTTTAAAGCCTGCGTGTTGTGTCACGGGGCGATGGTTGTGGAAAACAAACAGGCTGCACCATTTAAAGAGGAAGACTAAATGTTAATTGAGCATCTCAAACAATATTAAATGTGTTTTTTTGGGGCGGGGTGTGTTTGTGTGTGTGTGTGGTGGTGGTGGTGGTGGGGGGGGTTAATGTGATATTACTTGAAAATGCCCAAATTCCAATAAATTAAGTCTTATTTAAATGTAAGCTTAAATTGAGTTCAAGTAACTTTGCATAACACCATCTTTACAAGCAAACATAAAAGGCAGTAAAGGTATAAACACAACTTTTAACCAGAACTAAAGCATAATCAGAAAAAAAAGAGCATTGCAGCAGAAAATGAATTCATGCAGGCTATTGTGATAGTAACACAATGGCACTGTTGTATAAGCATAGTATTGATAGCAGTAGGCTACAAGAGGCAAAAGTAATTCAAGCAACCACTGTAAGTGTTTCTGCTGCTCACAATGAACCAACTGAACTCCCACAAGTGACAGTAAATCTGTTATATGTCTGAACTAGTTCATCCCCAGGGTGTTGACCGCTCATGACACTTGTCACTAACACAAAGATCCATTTACGACACGGTGGGTATAAGGCCTGTCACTGGTATGAAGATATTTGAAGCCAAGGTCAATGTTCAGTCTTCTCAGGGTTACAGCAGGAAAGTTATGCAACATTAGTCAGAAATATCCTGGCTGGGAATCGGAGAAAGGTTATTCCCTCAGTCCATACACCTCATGTTGATGGGGTGACTGCTCCAAATTCCCAACACTCCTGACAGGAAACCAGCTGATTGGTCATGATCAGTATTTAATTTTGGCCAGCCACTGCAAATTTTTGTCTGTTCAAACGATTTACTTGGTTAGATGTCTTAATTATTTCCTGTTTTCGGTGTGCATCACTGAGGGAAAGGGAGGTGAACCCTGCAGCACATGTGAAGTCTGATTTTACTTCAAGGCACATGCCAAAAGCAAAAAGATGGTTACATGGAGAAAAGTATCTACAGTACAATGTGCACAGAACAGAGTGGAAGACGTTGGAGAGAGCACAAAGGGGTAGTTGAACAAAACAGAAGCCAGTGATACTGTACAGGCTGGTGAGGTTCATATGGTGGTCACACGGAGTTCACACTGGTTCCCTCAGACAACAGAGTCAGTGGCAGTTCAGAGTCAACACCAAACTGCTGCCAAAGCTGTGAGAACACTCACTCTGTCACTGGCATCTGATCTAGTCTAGCCTGTTGTAAAAACCTGAGTCTCTTGAGGATTTGTATGTTTTAAAGCTCCTGAAATCCTGGTTTAAAATCCTAAGTATAGTTTTCACATTAACATTAAGTACTCAAGACCAATCCAAATTAAAGGTTGCTATATTTATTATTTAACATGACATTCAAACACAGAAGCTGTCTGCTTTATTAGATGTAGTGTATGTAGATTTAATAGCTGAAAACAACTATAAGCTAATAACCCTATAGTTGTCAACATATTTTGATTAAAATGATGCTAAATTCTGATTAGTGCACAGAAGTACATGATAGCACCATTTCTCAATGGAGCCCCACCTGCTTTTATCCAGTAAGGAGTGCATATACAAGCAAAGCTCAAATACAGACACCACTCATAGGAAACAAACAAAACTAACTCTCCAACTTTGGCAGACAAATGGGTTTACATGTGTTTTAAGGCCTTTAAAAGGTAGAAAAGGTCAAAACATAGATGCAGTGTATGGACATCAGCTAAGCTGGAATAAAATTTTTGCTTTGTCAGAGTCTTGTACCATATAGGTGATTGTAAATTATGATTGTCCATGCATCTGATACTGATGTGTCCATCCAAAGCAGTTCCTTATATAGCAGCAGAAAACCAAGCCCCTCCTGATCACCTTATTTATCAAGCTTTCATTCTGTGTCCGCCTGACTAATCTGAACAAACACATGCCATCTGTGTCTCTCGGGAGCTGGAAGTTATTTTTGAGGTTCAAGCTGGATGCCAGTCGTACAGTAGGTGATCATGAGGAATGCGGGGATAGCTCTGGAAGCTCCATCAACCTACCCGCTGAAGGTGATCACAGTACTGGAGCAGCTAGTTGTTATCTAGGAAGTAGGTTTTCTTGTCCAACAGCTAAAAGTTGACAAACACTACACTTCCCACAGCTCAACATGCAACAACCTGTAAAAACATTTCTATACAAATAAAAATTGATCATCTTATGTCAGTAAAACAAGGTGTCCAGTGTGTGAAGTGTTTTTATTAAACATTTTGTTGAAAATCTGTTCAAATGTGATAGTTATCACTGGCCCTGCAGTCAACAGACTGAGCCATACTGAAATTTGGAATTCGCCACCTTACTTTTAAATCCAAATTGCAGTTTTAGCAGTGTCATAAATCTGAGCCCAGTTCCTGTTCTGTTCTTTTCAGCTTAAATGTCTCCACCTGTGCTGGAAATGATGTAACCCTCATTTCCTATGTGCCGCAGCTGGGTCAGCAGGGACCAAGTGTAGAACGACAAATATATATTAAAGGCTTTCATGAACCAGATTTAGGTTCAAAACACTACATTTAACAGCCAAATCAGAAAGAAAGAAAAGAAACCTTATCTGCCTGGATAAGCCTTCGTATGGTCATTTCCAATCACCTTGTCAGCTGACAAAGAGAAGAGAAAGAGGCTGGTGTGAAAAGGTTTTTGAGATAGTTATTTGAAAGTAAAAGCTGCAGAGTTCACACTTAAAATGCAGCTCGAGAAGTGAAGCATTCTTAGTTTTTATTAAACGGGGAAAAATTCAGGGATCACTGTTGATCTGCAACGTCAGACTCTGCAGATGTTGAAAGAGAACAGTGAACGTAGTAATTACTGGTGATGTCGTGGCCCTCTAGCCATGCCTAGGTGAAATATTAACAGTGACTGTTGTTCATAAATGTGCCTACGTGCCATTTTCCTTTGATCTCATTAGCTTCATCTCTCCTAATCAACTTCTCATGGCCCCACTAAACCAGGTGTTTTATAAACTCTGTCCTGTATTTCCTGGATCTTAACAACAGCCACTGTCCTGATTCACACACACATACTGAGGAACTGACTTAACGTACATTCTCAATCCTTGCAGCATGCATCCTCCGTACAAAACAGGCTTTTTTCCTAGTCTATGTTTTGCTTCTTGTTTATCCCTATGGGGCTTTTCTGGTCAGGAAGAGGAGGAGACAGCAGACAAAGGCAAATACAATTACCAAGAATCAAATCACCCACAAACACATGGTTTTCTCTCTTACCTCCATTTACTCTGCTACAAACCAACAGCAACACCTGGCCGCACTTCCTGCACTGTAGTTGATGGCAAAGGATGCACAAACATGGCCATTAAATGGAATTACAGCCAGACTCTATGAGTGAGCAAACCATACTGCATTGGCACCTGTCTGTGTAAACTACAGGGCAGTGGTTTGTGCAATATGGTCCTTTTTAGGCTGATAAGGTGCATTAGCTTCTCTTTGTAGATACAGAAGCTACAGTTCATGGAAAGAATACAGCAAACAAAGAAATGTGGATCTCAAGATATTTATTTCAAACTTTGAACACCCTTTGAGCATTTTGAACAACCAAGCACTGATCTCATTAAAGTAGAAAATATTTTATACATATTTATGTAAAAATATACAGTAGAAACTGTTTTAATAGACATTAGCTGATTTACACTATAAAATGAACAAAAACTAATTTCAAAGTCTGCATCTAAGCTCAGGGATCATTTAGGTCTTCCACCATCTACAGTACATAATACTGCAAAAAGATTCAGTAAATCCAGGGAAATCTCAGTTCGTAAAGACCAAGGGCGAAAACCATTGTTGAATGTGTGTGACTTCAATCCCTCGGGAGGCACTGCATGAGAAACCGTCATGCTAACATAATGAATATAGCCGCATGGCCTCGGGACAACTTTGGAAAATCGTTGTCACTTAACACAGTCTGCTGCTGCATCCAGAAATGCAACCTGAACCTTTATTATGTAAGAAGGAAGCCATACATCAATTTTGTGCAGAAACACCACTGAGTTCGCAGGGCCCAAGCCCATCTCATATCCCACACACTAAGTGTTAGTCCTGAGCTGGTACTAGAGCTGGTTCAACTTGTGAACCTTCTAATAACCAGTTTACTTTTCCACTGGCTAAACAGCCACCACAGAGCCACATAATTATGCCCCTGTATACATCTGAATACGTCTCTGCTTTCCCAGCAATGTGCATAGATAAACGAATCTACAGCGTAGTGAAGTTGTGTTATTACTTATTGGGTTCCATGTCATTTGCTTGCTTGGGTGCTTAGATGCTTGGGTGTTTGAGTGTTTGGGCGTTGTCCGTCTATCAAGTGTGAGTTGTAGGTTCAAACATTGCAGCCATTTTAAGGCCATTAAATATGGTTAGGTGTGTGCCACGTGAGTAGACGTCACTGTGGCTCAATTGGTACGGGGTGGAGCCTAGGGTATTAAAGGCAGCCAGCAAAGGAAAAGCCCTTAGTATTTTAGGGGCCGGTCTGATCCACACTCCTGTCTGGAAGTGGCGGTAATGCACCTAAAGCTGGTTGCCAACCACCATTAAAAAGCAGCTGACAAAGAAGAAGAAAAGCCCTTGGTAGTTTGGTGTGGTAGTAGGTAGGGGCCGTTCTGTTGACCAGTATAGCTTTTTAATAAGAGCTTTGTGTCAGAACCACAACTAAAATCAGGTAGTGAAATGGAAAAACTGGTAACAAAACTGAAAAAGGTGTTGTATGATTGGCCAGCTGTGTGAAGGTGAGGGATTGAATTCTTCTCTAGCTCTCACTTTTTCCTTTTTTACACAACTATTTGTGGCACTTTTCATGTGAACACTATGCATGCATTGGACACTGTCTAAAAGTATGCACTGTTCTCCCCATATTTAAACATACAGTATCCCCCCTGTCTCTGTCATAGCCATATTTTTACTTCACCTTCCATCGTGGCCGATTCAGATCAGGCATAAACACTGGTTAAACTTGATTCCAGA